CGGTTCTTGCGTGTGGGATTATTTAAAAAAAAATAGATAAAATGGCTTTAATAGAAAATAAAACAATAGATGTCATATTTTATACAGACAATTGTTCAGGGCAAAACAAAAACCGCTTTTTGTTTGCACTTTATATGTTCGCAGTAAATAAACTGGAAAATATTAATACTATCACGCATAAATATCTTATAAAAGGGCACACACAAAATGACTCAGATACTGTTCATTCGGTCATCGAAAAGCAAATTGCAAGGTATAAAAAAGGAGCCCCTATTTATGTCCCAGACCAATATATAACATTAATAAGGCAGGCCAGAAAAAAAGGAAAGCCTTATGATATTAAAGAAATGTGTCACTCAGATTTTCAAGATCTAAAATTGTTGACAGCTCAAATGAATATTAAAGATACATATAAAAATGAAAAAGGAGAATGTGTAAAAATATCGGAAATAAAAATTTTTGAGGTCAGGAAATATGAAACTGGATACTTCTTTTATAAGAATTCTTACGAAGAACAAGATTTTTTAAAAGCAAACATTTTTGTTAGGCGATCGATACTCAATTTTAATCAGATTACTCTTACAAACGCTTATAAGCAGAAAATAGGAATACCAGAATCCAAAAAATTAGGCATACTGTCTCTGGCGGAAAAGGATGTTACCTCGATATTATTTAGATTTTTACAACAATTTGTAGTTTCTTATAACTAACTGTTGGTTAAGTTTTGTGTCCCTTGAGTTTATTGCTAAAACTAATAAATTGTGTTTTTTTCAAATATTTTTCATACCTTTTAACCCCAAAATATATTAATAAATTAAATCGTATTTTCCTGAAAGACCGTCACATTTTGCTTTTTTGACAATTTTTTTGAAAAACCTTTCGGGAAACATAAAATTATAGGTCCAAAAATGTCACTTGAGAGGCATTCTATTCTTTACAGAAAAAAAATACGTAAAATTAGTAACACACGATTAGCCACAACCAAATTTAGAGCTAAAAAATCTTTATTTAATTCTCCTGAAAATTTTGATTTTTTGAGTTATGACAGTCTTGTTGGAAACCAGCGATATACTCAAAGGATGAACTTGGAGAATTGCAAAAAGAAAAACTTGAAGAAACTATTCTGAAATTTCGTGTCCTATCAAAAACGGAATTGGGAAGAACAAATCGAATCGTGCATCACATAGATACTGGTAATGCAGAACCAATTAAGCAACGACAGCATTTAATGTCGCCTTATAGGCTTGAAGTCTTAAACCGTGAACTGGATAATATGTTGCAGCTTGGAGTGGTTCGTCCATCTTCTAGCCCCTGGTGTAGCCCAGTGCTATTGGTTGAGAAAGCTGATGGTAAACCTAGATTTTGCTTCGATGGTCGTAAGCTTAACGCTGTGACCAAGAAATGTGCCTACCCATTGCCAATGTTAGACCACATTTTAAGTAAGTTATCGGGAACCAAATATTTAAGTAGCATAGACTTAAAGTCAGCTTTCTGGCAAATACCTCTATCGCCAGAATCATGTGAAAAGACAGCATTTGCAGTACCAGGTCGAGGATTATTTGAATTTGTTGTCATGCCGTTTGGTTTGTGCGACGCTGCGCAGACTCAGCAAACATTAATGGATTCTGTTCTAGGACCAGAACTAGATACTTACGCATTCGTCTATCTTGACGATGTCATTATTGCAACTGCTTCTTTTGAAAAGCATCTCGAAATATTAAACGTAGTATTCGAACGTTTAAGAGCAGCTAATTTGACAATAAATATTGATAAATACACACCAGAGTGGCTGTCCACGAGTAGGCACGTTAGTGTGAGCTCCTGCTATTTTATAAAATTACATGAGATACTCTTACTCAAATTGTTGGTAACTTCTATTAGTGGTGTTTAAGACAGTGACTAGTACAAGAAATAACCTAAAATTACGAATAAATCACTAATTGGTGAATTAGTGCAGTTTGGAGTGAGTTTTCGGGATCCACCTCCTCAATAAAGTTGTGGCCATGGGCAGCAGGAAAGATAAAAATAAACAGGAATTATCTGTTGAAGAACTAATCAACAAGGTATGCTCCGAGATTTCTAATAAGATAGAAATGTCTTTCAATGCAAGATTTGATGATCTTCAGCAGAAGTTAAATAGCATTGAAAAGAAATTTCCTGATGTCATTAAACAAATAAACTCAAGTGAGAACTTACTATCAAATGTGGTATCTGAACTCGATGTTGTAGAGCAATTTCAGAAACGTAATGCTCTTCGAATCCATGGCTTACATAAAGAACCGAACGACGCATCCCTAACTGAGCATGTCTTACGGTTATTTGCAGATCATTTGCATGTCAAATGTTGTTATGAAGATTTAAATACCATTATTCGGATCAACCAGGCAAGTGTTGATGACAAGAGACCTGGTGCAGTTATTGTAAATTTTGTCACTAATATCAAGCGTAATGAGGTATACAATGCAAAGAAACATTTGAAAAACAAAAAGGTTGCGATATTTGAAGACCTGACAAAAAAACGTTACCAGTTATTACTTGCCACTAAAAAGAAGTTGGGTCCTAGGAAAGTTTGGTCTATGGCTGGAAAAATATATTGGTGGAATGAACAAGAAAACAAGAAGTGCATCATCAACAACACTGATGATCTGTCCCTATATTGATGTGGTAGACCTATTAATATTTACTAAGTTATTTATCTGTATACATCCTTTTCGGTGATAAGTTTTTCCGCCTCTAGAGAATTTATCGATTTATCAGTAAACATGTCTTTATTTTTATACTGTAAATACTGCTAAAATTTTGAAATATGAAATACGTGTTTGTTTATTTTGAAAGACTGAATTATATTATAANTAAAAAACATTGATCAATGAAAGATAAAGATATTTAAAACAAAATTTTAACAAATTTAAAAACAAAAGTTTCATTTAACCAATCAAATTTGAAAAGTAATATAAATAAAGAGATCTCAAATTCTAATTTTAGTATAAGTCTAGATTAAGAAAATTTGTATAACTGTATATCTGAACATTGTAGTAAATATAGCTGACACTTATCCGATTTATTTATTATTCCATGTGTGATATTTGAGGAAAATCTATATAGTGAGATAAACTAAATTTATGACAAAGAAATAAGGAGATTCTTGCTTGAATAAAATATTGAACCCGCCTCCTGCTCGAGAGAGTTGCTAACATAAAACAAAATAAAATATAAAAATAAAAAAAAACTTAAGCAAAATTTTAAATAAAATAAAGTGTAAAATAGAGGCCATTTAAGCATTAGCAGGTAAATATAAGACTTGTGAATTGTATTTACGTCTTTAACATATATACTACACTACACATAACATACTTTATTGACACACATATACAGGGGCTATTCAAAACGTACTCAAAACATTAATTTCCAAAATTGAACATTCATACATAAAATTTTAACTAACACATAAAACAACATTCAACACAACAATAACTACTCTTAACAGAAATGTTTCCAATTTTTTTTATTCTTTTGAATACTGCTTTGAAATCGAAAAAAAACTNAGTAAATATTCCAAATTACATTTTAGTTCGACAAGACAGACATGGCAGAGGTGGAGGAGTTGCATTTTATATTAAAAATAACTTCAAATATAAAATTGTAAAGGTACCTGAGAATAATTTTTTAGAAAGTTTATGGATTTCCATTAAGTTAGGTGGTAAAAATGTATGTCTGGGGACTTTATACCGACCTCCTGACATTGATATAGTAAGTAGTTTAACGGAATTAGAAAATATGTTATCCATGTTATTGCCCGAATATGATGAGGTAGTATTTGGAGGTGATTTAAATATAGACTTACTTAATGCTAATGGTCTGAATGCCGTACGTTTGGTTAGTTTATTCAATAGATATGGTATGTTTCAGTTATGTACTGAGGCTACAAGAATCACTAATAATTCTAGAACGCTACTGGATTTAATTGTATCTTCAAATTTGGATATAGTAAATGATACAGTCGCTTTAAATATGGAGGGTATATCTGACCATCATTTAGTTAAATGTACCATTAAGCTAAAAAAAGACAAAATTGTTCCTAAGATTGTTACTTACCGTGATTTTTCTCATTTTAATTACGATAACTTTTTAAGAGATTTATTTTCTGTTAACTGGGATTTTATATTTTCACTCGATAGTGTAGATGATATGATAAATTTTTGGAATGAAAATATCATTGACGTTTTTAATTTTCACGCACCTGAGAAAACGGCGAGAATTACTAAAGCCTCCGCTCCTTGGTTAACACCAAATCTAAAATTGATGATTAAACTTAAAAATGCTGCATATAAAAGATATAAATCTGCTCTTACTCAGGAATCGTTTAATGAATATAAAGAAATGCGTAATTTTGTTAATAATGCCATCAAGTCTGAAAAGAAGGCTTTTTTAACTTATAAATTTAAACAAGAAACAGACACCTTCTGGAGAACTTTAAAAAAATTAAATTTAACGAAGTGTAAAAACAATATAATTTTCCCATATGACTCAGAATCATTTAATGACTTTCTTGTTAATAACATTCCCCAAACAAATTTAAATCATGACCAATTTACTGATGCAGTTATAGATAATTATAATACAATTTTTACTGAAGATGGGTTTTCGTTTTCTGACATAACAACTGAGGAGGTAAATAAAGCAATAAGTACTATAAAAACTCAAGCTAAAGGCTCTGACAATATTAATCTAAGGCTTCTTAATATAGTTATGCCACATTTAATACCACATATTACATTTATCATTAATACATGTCTAAAGACAGGGACNTGCACTTCACTTCACAATAAACACGTCCGCTCAGTTCGGCCGCTCGCTCGAGAATGGGATAAAGAGGGATAATCCCCCTCGATCCCAAATCATTGAGGCCAATTTTTAGCCATGGAGTAATGGCGCACTTCCCGATCTAGTACTTTTATTTTACGTCCGCTGGCAACACTGGTGGTAACCACTAACTCGCCACTAACCTAAAAATCGAAGTAAATGTAAATATTGCAATTTGTATTTAAGATTTAAGATTTAAGAATTTACTAAATGAAAAGTTTCCCCCCCTTCACTATTTCGTGCGTACGGGACACTAGAACACTGTAATTGTAGTAAATATGTAAACGAGCAATCCAGTCCAACTAAAATACAAAAGAAAACAACTAATATTTTGAGTTTGAGGTTATAATATAAACATATTAATTGTATATCCATATTTGCTTGGCTATACTTATTTATACTCATTGTTTCTGATAAACATTGTTATACATGTATTGGTTTTAACGATGTTTATCTTAGCAGAAATGAAAAATGTTACCCGAATCCCACCTGAGTTATTTAATTTGAAACTAAATGATGCAATAGCTGGAGAATTAAATAAAAAGCTTGCCAATAAGGTCTGTATGTAGTGTTAAATCTGTGATTTAATGTTACATTTTTTTTCTTTTTAGGTAGTTTTAAATGTCGGACTGTGCATTGCTCTTTTCGATATTGTAAGTTTGCAAGAGTGTTTTATATTTCCTGGAGATGGAGCTTCACATACCCGAGTAACATTTCGATACATCGTCTTTAGACCTTTTATAGAAGAGGTACTGATAGGAAAAATTAGAAGTTGTAGTCAAGAAGGTGTTCATGTAACATTAGGATTTTTTGATGACATTTTAATCCCCCCAAGTGCATTACAACATCCTTCTAAATTTAATGAAACAGAGCAAGCTTGGGTATGGGAATATGATACTGGTGATGGTAGTAAACATGATTTGTTTATGGATGCTGGAGAATCTATAAGATTTAGAGTCACAGCAGAAGTGTTTAATGAGACTTGCCCAACTGGACCCGCAACTATGCAGGAAAACCAGGAAAATGTTGAAAATAAAGTACCATACAGTTTAACCGTAAGTAATTCTTGATATATCAATCCATTTCATAGGTTAAGGAGAATATTGTGAATATTTTTATTCTTGTATTGTCAAATTATAAGTATTTTTTGTTAATTTTTTAGCAAAATCTAAACTTGTTTGTTTCAGGGAAGTATAAATGAACCTGGCTTAGGACTGTTAAGTTGGTGGGATAACTGATAGTTAAATTTTTTAAAAGTTGCTTGTAAATTTTTATTTATATATACATTTTAATTAAAATTGTTTTCATATACCTACCTTTCAGTTATATATTTTTTAATTGCAAAACTAAAAGACTAACATGAAACCGATAAAAAAATATAGTGTCTAACATACTATTTAATATATAAATACCAAAACTAGTTGTGTTGCACAACTTATCACATATTTTTAGACAGAGCTGTATTTAAAGAGTGAAGAGCCAATATTTTCTTGCATTTGTGCAAATTTTCTGAAAAAATCGGTTAGGTTCATTTTTACAGTATATTTTAAGTAACACACTTTTAAAGCCTACTTGGTTTTGTAGTTTAACAATGCATCGAATAAGAACTACTTTTACAGCTCAAAGTAAAATATATCTTACACTGTAGTAATGTTTGCTGGTTTTATTCACAAAATATATACATTTACGTATAATGGACCAACTGGAAGGTAAATAATAACATTACTAAATGAAAACGAACAATAGGAAATGTATTGAGAGTGTTATTGCACAATTCTAGTATCAAATGTAACAAGTGGACAATAGGTGTTTGCTTATTCTATCACGAGGCAGCGTGGAAGATGTTCTCTCAAATAGTCAAACAGTTCTTTAGACGCCCCTGGACAATTTGTTAGTTCTAATTCTCTCATATGCCGAAGTTGGATCAGACTTGATAAGCCGCTAGACGTTAGCAAAGGACACCCTGTAAAAATAATTTATTAAGAACAATGTACCTAATATTGGAACAAAGAAAAAAAAAGGAAAAAGGGATTTTACACAATTCTGTACTTTTTCTCTACCACCAGTTCAAGATCAATTTTTATAAACAATTTTTTGATAAGGTCGTAATGTGTATCAGTATTTTGTTCATGAAACCAGTAGCAGAGAAAAAATACAAAATCTTGTTAAACAAACTTTATTTCCTATTACTTATAACATAGTTACCATACAAGTTGGTCACTTTAAAGGTATACACCATTAGTAGATTAGTAGATTACACTACTATACACATATACTACTATACTAATATACACATATACACCATTAGTAGATTAGTAGATTTAGATAGCGTTATTCGGATCAACCAGGCAAGTGTTGATGACAAGAGACCTGGTGCAGTTATTGTAAATTTTGTCACTAATATCAAGCGTAATGAGGTATACAATGCAAAGAAACATTTGAAAAACAAAAAGACAACAAGAAAACAAATATTTGAAGACCTGACAAAAAAACCTTACCAGTTATTACTTGCCGCTAAAAAGAAGTTGGGTCCTAGGAAAGTTTGGTCTATGGCTTGAAAAATATATTGGTGGAATGAACAAGAAAACAAGAAGTGCATCATCAACAACACTGATGATCTGTCCCTATATTGATGTGGTAGACCTATTAATATTTACTAAGTTTTTTCTCTGTATACATCCTTTTCGGTGATAAGTTTTTCCGCCTCTAGAGAATTTATCGATTTATCAGTAAACATGTCTTTATTTTTATACTGTAAGTACTGCTAAAATTTTGAAATATGAAATATGTGTTTGTTTATTTTGAAAGACTGAATTATATTATAAATGAACACTATTATTAGTATTCCCTTCTCGTTTCACAATATTTGGTAATATTGTCTCATCTGCTATCATTTATATACATTTTTTTTCTTTTTTTTTATGTTATGTGGTATGTGTTTTGCAAAATAGTCTAATTATATGCCTAAAAAATGTCTGGACAAACACAAAATTTCATCTTTATAGTAATTAACTAGATGTAATACTGTGCATACATAATACTTTTTAGCTAATACATTTTGTTTTCCTTCGTAGCAAATTTTATAATTTTTTTGTTTGTATATTTTTGCTTTTAAATTGGTACTTATCTAACCATTATATCAAATATTTTTCTCATATAACGGCTATTAATTTTAATTGTGAAAGCAGGTAGTTCACGTTATAATGCAGGGTGCAATGAAGGATAAAAACGAGGTGGAGGAGTTGCATTTTATATTAAAAATAACTTTTTTTTTTTTTTAAAAAAAAACACCACAGAAATGAGACAACCCCCAAATCCAAAAGCCAAAGGCTTGTGCGGAAGGGGGCTACACTTGAAAAAACGCGGACAAACACCCATTATCCATCGACATTGCCAGTGCCGACACTTCAAATATAAAATTGTAAAGGTACCTGAGAATATTTTTTTAGAAAGTTTATGGATTTCCATTAAGTTAGATGGTAAAAATGTATGTCTGGGGACTTTATACCGACCTCCTGACATTGATATAGTAGGTAGTTTAACGGAATTAGAAAATATGTTATCCATGTTATTGCCCGAATATGATGAGGTAGTATTTGGAGGTGATTTAAATATAGACTTACTTAATGCTAATGGTCTGAATGCCGTACGTTTGGTTAGTTTATTCAATAGATATGGTATGTTTCAGTTATGTACTGAGGCTACAAGAATCACTAATAATTCTAAAACGCTACTGGATTTAATTGTATCTTCAAATTTGGATATAGTAAATGATACAGTCGCTTTAAATATGGAGGGTATATCTGACCATCATTTAGTTAAATGTACCATTAAGCTAAAAAAAGACAAAATTGTTCCTAAGATTGTTACTTACCGTGATTTTTCTCATTTTAATTACGACAACTTTTTAAGAGATTTATTTTCTGTTAACTGGGATTTTATATTTTCACTCCATAGTGTAGATGATATGATAAATTATTGGAATGAAAATATTGACATTTTTAATTTTCATGCACCTGAGAAAACGGCGAGAATTACTAAAGCCTCTGCTCCTTGGTTAACACCAAATCTAAAATTGATGATTAAACTTAAAAATGCTGCGTATAAAAGATATAAATCTGCTCTTACTCAGGAATGTTTTAATGAATATAAAGAAATGCGTAATTTTGTTAATAATGCCATCAAGTCTGAAAAGAAGGCTTTTTTAACTTATAAATTTAAACAAGAACCAGACACCTTCTGGAGAACTTTAAAAAAATTAAATTTAACGAAGTGTAAAAACAATATAATTTTCCCATTTGACTCAGAATCATTTAATGACTTTCTTGTTAATAACATTCCCCAAACAAATTTAAATCATGATCAATTTACTGATGCAGTTATAGATAAGTACAATACAATTTTTACTGAAGATGGGTTTTCGTTTTCTGACGTAACAACTGAGGAGGTAAATAAAGCAATAAGTACTATAAAAACTCAAGCTAAAGGCTCTGACAATATTAATCTAAGGCTTCTTAATATAGTTATGCCACATTTAATACCACATATTACATTTATCATTAATACATGTCTAAAGACAGGGACATTTCCATCTGCTTGGAAAGATGCTAACGTATTACCTTTACCTAAAGTTGATAACCCTCAAGATATTACCCAATTTCGTCCAATAAGTATACTCCCAACTATATCTAAAGTTCTTGAAAAAGTTGTGTGCTGGCAGTTAAGTAGTTATTTATCAAAGAAAGAGGTATTGCCCATAA